GTGAGAGCGACTACCTTTTTACTCCACCATCTTAGCTCCCGGAAATGGAAGAAGCCCAGATGTTTTCTTAAAGGGAAGTCTGATACTCAGTGAACTCCAGAGTCTTCCTGTTACGTCCAGTTTTCTCATACCTTAATCTCCACCACATACTCTAAAATCTAGCTGCACTGGCCTTCTTCCTGTTCTCTGCATCTGACATCCTGTCCCAGTTGTGTGCCTTTCCATTGGCTGTCCCTTATGCCTAGAATGTTGTCCCTCCTCATTTTCACCTTCTGGTTTCTCTGGCTTCTTTCAAGACTCAGCTCAATGCTACTTTCTGCAAAGGGTCTTTCCTATCTGCCCCCAACTATCTACTCTGATCGTGTCTTGTTTGATCATAGCTGTTCACATATTGTCTCCCCATTAGAAAGTGAGCTGCTTAAAGGAAACACTATAAACTCCAGTACTCCCTAGTTCTGACACCTGCTACTACCTGTGTGTCCTTAGGGGAGTCACTTAATCTCTCTAGGTTTCAATTTCCTTATCTCAAAATGCAGGTTTGAAAATAGATGAGCTCTAAAGTCCCTACCAGTTCTAAATCCTATCATCCTATGAAGAGAATTTAACTTTGAAGAAAAAAAAAGAGAGCAAGATACAACAGCCTGGGCTGGGAGTTGGAAGGAGTGTAGCCTAGCAAGAGGAATGACCTTAAGAGCCTTGGACTGGCGAAGAGGGCCATTTACAAGCCTTCACAGCCTGGTTCCAGCCCACATTCCTAGCCTTTACTCACCGCTCGAGCCAAACTGGGCTTCCTGCTGTTCCTCACACATGACATCACACATCCTGTTAGTGACCTGTATATGTGACTGTCCCATTTACCTAGAATGCAACCTCACCTCACTTTCCTCTCTTAGAAACCCTATTAATATTCCCTCCCCATCCCAAACCAAACCAAACTTCCTATTCAGCTTGTATATGCTTATGTGCACACATTATCTTCCCTGAAAGAATGTGAGTTCCTTGAAAGCAGGGACAATTCCTTTTGTCTTTGTCTCCCTAGCACAGGGTCTAACACATAGTAGGTGATTAATAAACGCTTGTTGATCCTATTTCAGTTAAAGAGTGCTCACTATATGAAATAATGGGAAATGTGTAAAATTGAAAGCAAAACTCTACAGCAGGGTTTGTATACATTTAGAAAACAAGCTTAATTAGTCTCCACATACAAAAGAAGACACTGGTTTTATTCCCGGATCCACAATCAACAATTTGAGGGCAAGACATACTTGATCTTTCTGAGCCTGTTTACTCATCTGTAAACCAGAAGCAGTATTTGCACTACCCATTTCACAAAGATGTTCTGAGGACCAAATGAAATTCTGCATTTGCATTTTCACTCTGGAACTATATGTGCTATATGCAATAACATTATTATTATTATTGTGGTATCTAGTATATTATTTAATAGTGATGAAAAAAGGAAGAAGTGCTCTGGGGATTTTGAAAGTTTACAGATCATAATTTTGATAGTTTTATATATACAGATTTATATACATATTTATGATCGTTGTTAAAAAAGTAAACACATATTGCTTGGCTACATGAAAGTCTGCTTAAACTACTGTGTGGGCAAAGATGGGGGAGGTGGGAAAGGCAACCAACATTTTGAAAAATATGGTAGCTAAGAGCAGTGGAGAACCTCTTGGCGAGCGGAGCTCGGACCCTCCAGCTAACTCGTACACCTCGCTCACACCTTTGCTGAGTGCTTCTTCACTGCTGCCACAGCCCCAGCATAGCTCCCCACTTGCCGGCCACCCCCCAGAGCAAGACTCCGGAGCAAGATTGTCAGTGGTCTGCTCCCTGTCTGTCCTATGGCCAGAATCCCTCTTCCCCAGCCTGACCAGGTTGTCTGGGCAGAAGGCACCTGAACCTCTCCTGCTGAGTGAGCCCAATCCTTCACCTCTGCAACCTGCAGATCCCAGAATTCAATCAAGGTACAAGTGAATTGGCCAAATGAATTGTAGACATTAGAGACAAGCTGTATTTTGAACACCTTGTATGAAAATTGTTGTCCACGCTTTCCAAAACAACCTGAAGTTAACTGACAGATGGCTTTAACAGTGAAGATCCCTAGTATGTTGGATGTTGTAAAAGGCTTTTGAGGGCAAAATGTGGAAGAAACTAGCTTTTCAGTGAATGCTATGAGGTTTGTCAGAATCCATTCTTTTCAACCATGGAAATCAAGAGGATACTTGGAACCTGGAGTGTTTGTATTTCAGCATTTTCAACACGGTTCAGTGGAAAACTAATGCCCATATGAAAATGTTACCTGTCACTTACAGATGCAGATAAAATGTTTACCTTGAACAATGTCTCAGCTCTAAAACAGGATTTCTAGTTACATCTGCATTATGACCCCTCAATGCTTCAATCTGCATACACTACCATGTAATTTCCAATTACATGTGTACATGAAGAACTTGGTTCTTACCAACAAGTGACATTTTGGGCCTTATCTGGTTTATCCCTGAAACAATCATCATACAGTGTACATAGTGAATTGTACTGGTTTTGTTTCTTTTAGATGTAATTAGTACATGGACTTGAAAGAAAATGGTGGGGTCTTTTTGTTTTTTTTTAACTATGATTTGTAATGTGCCTTCCACTTATTTATTTAATTTACGGTTCAAAATTCTGATAGCTCATTTTTGTATTTAAAAGGTTATGCTATTTGAGGACTATGTATGACAGTGTTTGGCATGTTATTGCAATAAAGTTAAATCAAAACCTGGAAAAAAAAATATGGTCGCTAAATGCAGAGTTTGTGTTAGGGTGGCCTGAAGGGTAAGATTGGGGACATCTTATTTTTATCAAGGAAACTAACAGCACTTAAATTAAATGATCTCCCAATAAAATGAAAGCCTTATCAAAAGTTATTAAATTTACTTTGAATGGATCAATTCACACCATGCTACTAAAGGCATATGAATTCCTTCTAATACAGTACTCATGTGACTTTTGTCTAGTAATTATCTCAAATATGACTCCAGAATATCACACAACTCAAGAGTATCACTTCCTTAAAGCAGCAGGAAGAATCCTGAACAAATTATGGTCATCAAATCACTTTTCTTTGGAATGAATTATCTTCATGACTAATACTAAAACATTTCAAACTCCATCAGGAAATTTAAATGAAAATATCAATCAATAAGCATTTAATTAAGAGTCTACTAAATACTTTGAAGGCATGTTGCTGAGGCAATGAGATCTAACAACAAAAGTTAAAATGTCTGCCCTCAAGATGCTTACTAATCTAGCACATGTACATATAATATATTGGGGGAAAGGCTACTAGCAGCTGAAAGGGTCAGGACAGTTTTCATATTGAAGGTGGTGCTTGAGTTAAGACTTAAAGGCAGCTAAAGATTCAAAGATGCAGAGGTGCGGAAAGACTGCATGGGAGATAGCCAGTGAAAAAGAAAGGAGATGGGAGAAAGAACGGCTTATGTGAGGAATGGTAAGACAGCCAGTTTGGCTGGACTGTAGTATCCATAAAGAAGAATAAAGTAAGGAAAGTCAGATGGGGCTATATTGTAAAAAGGCATTGAAGGTCAAACAAGAGTTTATATTTAATCCTAGAGGTAATACAGAACCAGTAAATTTAATGAGATGGGGAGTGACATGGTAAGAGCTGTACTTTAGGAAAATCACTTTGGCAGATGTGTGGAGGATAAATTGGAGAAAGGAGAAAATGGATTCAGGAAGCTTCATTGAATTATGCGTATGTGTTATGAAGGTTTTCTTTTTGTTTTCTTGTTCAACAGGGCTGGGGGGGTAGAAGGAGAAAGAAATGATAAAAGCTTGTAAAAATAAATTTTTTAAAATATGGGCATGTTTTGTAGGCAAAGGTCATGGTAACAACTAGGAACACAGTTCTCATTACTTCATTTTTTTTGTATCTATAAAACTGAGAATTATGAATGAATTAACCCTATGTGACATTTAAGAGGAAGAGCAGAATTGCTGTTTAAAAAGTTAGCACAAGTTGCTTGGCACTCTACTGGAATGTTAAATCATGTGTCAAGGATGCATTTGGATGAGGACCAGAATCTGATGGATATAAGAAAATTTCTTCTAGTTTTTTTTTGTTATTGTTTTTGGACACAAGATTTTAATATAGGGATAGACTCAGGATTGCAAATCATATGTGTATGGGAATTCAGTGGGGAGCATGTCAAACAAAAATAATTAAGAAGACAGGCACTGTCCAAGAACTGACGATTTGCAGGAAGAGTTAATGTTAAGGATTATGTATATAAGTAGTAGTCACTGACAGGTTGAAAATCCATCCTTTGCAAAGGAATTGGATTTAAATGTCACAGTTACTGAATCTGGCTGAAAACTGAGACAGAGAGAACAACAAGGAAAGAAGAGAGGTTAACTGCACAAATCTATTAGGTGGGAAGGAAGAAGTTTTAGACCCTTTCAGCTTTAGTGAGCTGCCTAATAGTATATTAATTACTCAGCCAAAAAAAAAAGTTTACATGACAGGAAGTGGAAGAGGCATATGTAGAACAAAGGATAGGAGTACCTACAATTGTTTGTGGAAGGTTACAGTTAATAGATACTTAATAATACCACCCTGCCACAGTTATCCACAAAGTTGAGTTGAGCTTTTGAGCTTGGGCTCATCCATTTCTTTGGTAGCCTTATACAAGGAGTGGAAGATCAAGTTGTTTATTATATCATGAAGAACCAAGTTATTCTTTGACCTCAAGGCCCAGAGTCCAGGAAGTATAAGAGCTAACAAGATACTCCTCCTCCAGTGGCAACACGTAAATAAATACTTCCCAGAAAAGCTTAGTTACGATTTTTCAATAAATTACCAGCAAAGCACCTGAAATTGAGGCAAGACATTGTGGTGAAACTGGTATTTGGCCCCCAAGTTCACATATGTCATATGTCTTTCAAATAAAATCTTCTAAAAATCTGAACTTAAATTCTCTCCTGAAACTTACCATGTCACACAACTCAAACACCAGAAGATATGGGATGGCTTCCACACATCGTCCAACACACTGAAGAATATTTGGATGTTGAAGAATACTATATTAAAAAAAAAAAACAACCTCAAATCAATGTTCATCACTAAACATGCCAATAAAACTCCCACAAGCTTTTACTCCAATTTTTTTTTGCACTGAATCAAATGTAAATCAGTCATAACATACCAATATGTTAAGGACTTGTGATTTTAGATATGAGGGAACTCCCATTACCTATATAGATTGCAACCTCTTTCTAAGTCAGTGTTACTGAGTTGCCTGGCCTCACAGAGGCTGTGACTTGCCTGTGGTCACAGAGCTAGCAGGTGTGAGGGGCAGGAAATCAATTGTCTCCACTCAACTCCCTGCCCTTAAGTCCAACATTATACCCCCCCATCCCAGAGCATTCTAAATCAAATTTAAACAGCAATAGCAAACTAAAAATAACAAGATAAGTATGTTACTTTTGATCAGGAGAAACTATTTATAATTTACACATAACTTCTTAATAAAGTAATGCCCACTGTAAAGAGAACATTTCTATGTTTCATTGAATGTTTTTTTTATTAAGGAGAGTAATTCAAATTTACATAGAAAGGTTCAATTTTGAGCCTTTATTACAGTACCACTATACATTAGCAAATGTAATTATAGAATTATAACTCAATATTTAATATAGCTAGGTTATTTTTAGGGCAAATACTATATCCTTTCAATGTTTTGCCATAGAGTATGAAAATTTCTTTAAATATTTCCCACCAAAGACACCATACTAACATTAAAAAGAGACAAAGAAAAGTATCTTCAATATTAAAAAAACAAAAAACTTCATTCAACAGAACATATTCACATCATTACACAGCTTAAAGTTTACTTACTAGTATGGCTCTCCATTTTTCAAAAATTTATCTTGCTCCTTTGCACTCGCACTGGCTTTTAACTCCTTCACTACTACTCTTGCTACGCTGCTGCCTGTATAAATCTCCCCAAGCAGAACCTGGAAACAAAGAATAGTTCCTTATATAAATCCCACCAAACTAGAACAGGAAATCTCATTTCCTGATTAAAATCAACTGAAATATGGGGGAAAAATAAGATGTGAACACAACAGTCCTTTCTTTTCCTTTTCTAAATCACCACTGAAAAGTTGTGGATAATTCTTTCAGAAAGAAGCAAATTATTCTAACATATATACAGATAAATACCTTTTCTATTAGGCAAAACATATCAATTAACAGGTCAGTTTACAGGGCTATTTTAAAATTTTATTGGTCAGAAACATTTTACTTTGACAGGCTTATTTTAGTTTTTTCTGTTACATTTAAATAATGCAAAGGATCTGATTTTTAATTTGTCTGGGTCCCCTATGTCCTCTATGCTTTATAAATTACTATGACTATGACCAAAAGACAATATCCATTGTCCAGCCTAGTGTTGATGTGTCTCTCCAAATTTTGCTAGACTGATCCTAACAGTCACTAGAATGTGCTGCAAACCTTTCTAATTGGGTAGGATCTGCTAGATCTTGTTCTCTAATGACATAGGCCTTAACAACCTCAGGCTTAAATCTAAGTAGTCATAAGACAACAGACTAGGGTTTTAGAAGTGGCAAGTAGTTATAAAGGGATAAAAGTACTCATTTCTTGGGTGCAAGTAAGTAGCAAATCTTTAGATATATATTCTAAACATAATAAACATCTCATTCCAGAAATAGTATGTCTTTATTTTGTACCTAAAACTACACACTGAGCATCTTCGTTAGAGTAACAAAACACAAATTAAAAATCCTTAATAAAAATAAAGCATAAAAAAACTAGTTTAACTGAATTTTATAAAACATTAAAGAAATACAGGATTAACAGAAGTGATTTAAGAAAAGCAGATCTGAGTAAAAAAACTACAAGGTAAAGTATGAAAAATGGTAATTAAGGTAAAAGTGATAACATAAATTAAACTCAATAGCTAATGTGGCTTTAGATCAAAATGATCAAAGATGAAAAATGCTTTCTTTGTAAGTATTTTTAAATTATTTCACTTGCTGGCTGAATAAACTAGTAATCTGTCCTGTAAGTAGAAAGGGTTGTAAGTAAGCAAACAATATCTGAAGGTAAACAAAAGGGTCGGTAAAATGTACACTACATAACTTTGCTAATGAACTGAGGTCTGATTTTTTAAAGTAATAAGAATATACGGGGGAAAAAAAGACTCCCACCAATGTGGTAAATAAAGTAAGTCAATAAAGAAAAGGAAGCTGATCTTTGTGATTTTAAGCCATGAATGAGTATGTCAGGGGAGAAAAGGATTTTTTTTAAATTGTTGCTGTTTAATTTATTTTAAGGGAAAAAAGAATGTTAAGGAAGGGATAAAGACAATTGAAATCTATGAGCCAAGGTGTAATCTTCAATAATGGAGACAAACCGAATTTCCCTTTATGGCATGGCTCTTGTACAGGTTAACCAGAGGAAGGCTAAAGACATACTAATCTAGAATTCAGCAAGACATTCAGCCAAGTCTTTCATGAGATCCTTGTAAGATAGAAATATAATACAATATAATAATGGACTCTAACATAATAAAATGCTCAGAACGCCAAAATGAGACCTAAAGAGTAGTAAGATTACAACAGCTTAGAGGGAGGTATCCAGTAGAAGGTCACAAGAATTTGTTATTTGCCCTATTCTGTTCAACATTTAACAATACCTTATATAAATGGCATGCAAATCAAATTTGTCAAAGACCAAGCTAAAAGAAACACTGAACATTCTGAATGACAAAACTGAGATATGAAAAGATTTTAAGCGAATGGACTCAATTATAAAATTGAATAAATAAAAACTGAAATACAAATGGGAGAGGCCTAGATAGACAACAGCTCATGTAAAAAAGACCAAAACATTTTAGTGGACTGAAAGTTTGATATGAGTTAATTATGTGATGTTACCAATAAAAAAAGCTAAGCCATTTTCAGACTGTATTAATAGAAGCTTAGTGTCCAAAACTAAGCAGTTTATAGTCCTACTATATTCTGTAATATCACACCTGGATTAGTTTTTGGGCACCATATTTAGGAAGGAAATTGACAAGATGGAGTACAAACATATGAAAGCAATCAAAATATTGTGAGAACTAGAAAATAAGCTATTTGATGAATTATTGAAGAAGCTACAGGTTTTTACCATGGAGAACATTTAGGGGAGATATAAAGGTGTCATCAAATATCATTTTAGATAGGTTGTCATGAAAAGGAGGGATTAAATTTATGTTGCTTGATCCAGAAGGCAGAACCAGAAAATGACGCTAACATGCAAAATTAAAAGACTGGCATGGAAGTGAGTAGAATTACATTGTGTCAATATTTGGTTCTTTGCAATCTGCAAAATTAACTCCTCAGGTGTTACCTGTCAAGCACCTCTATGGTGCTTGAAATGGTTTTGTTGTAGTAAAATTTTATTCTAATGAGTATATCGTGATAAGTCACATACCTGACTTGTATGACCTAGCAATGCCATTCACTATAGAGAAAGTATTTCTACTTCAAGGGTCCATGATTTGAACAGTGTGGACATACCCTTCACCAATACATACTGCAAACCTTCTATATCTTTGTGAATTGCTGTGACAAAAAATTTATTACTCAGTGGCCAATCTTCTCACAGTAACATAGAAAAGAGTGAGAAACTAAAGAGCAGTAGTAAAAACACAAATCCTTTCATGTACATATGTACACATCCTAATTCCTTGATCTTTTAACTTTTATTTTACTTTGGTAGGTAGCTTGGGAATTGAAAAGTATTGAGATAACTGAGGTAGGGAAAGGTGAGAAGTAAAAGGATCTAAAAAATAACTGAGATGGTTAAGACCAAAACAAACCAAAAGAATTCTAAAATGCTCAATTATAATTCAGCTTAACTTAGTACTCTCTCTGCCATTCACTTTATAATGCAGAAACAAAAGTATAATATACAAAATGACTACAGCAATGTCGATGATAAAGTCACTAAAAGGAAACTGACCTTTGAGTAACTGAAAAACCTGTGAAGGTCCTGGTGATGGAAAAAACCCAACAAACTCCCTATTCATGGAAGAAAGATTAGGAAATACTAAGATAGATTAATGTATACATCATATATGTGAACACTACTGGATATCTTTGCTGAAATGTTTTTCTTTGTCATGACAGAAGGATTAAGCTGAGACAGGAAGACTCCTCAAAAATGACCATAATATAAAAACAAAAAGGCATCAAAAGCTTTGTTACACAAGAATGGTTCTTTCTAATGGTATTCATTACAAAGTACAGAATACTGGAAAAAATGGAAGGGGAATTAGGAGGCCAGGGTCAGGTATACTACTCTGACACGTTATGTACATGCAATGATAGAGAAGTCATTAACCCCTCAGAATCTGTTGCTTCTTCTGTAAACAGGGGTAACAATACTTGTACTATGAATTTCACAGCACTACTGTGAGGAAAGTTCCTTCTAGGTCTCAAACATACTATATGATCAATATATGTCATATTGTTACAACAGGATGTTACTTGTATTTCTAAGGTTTTAAGAACTATTGATAGTTCTTTTAAAAAAAATACAAAAAGCTAAAGAGTGAGAATTTGGAGAAACTTAGAAGAAAGAATTTCAGATAAAGACTTTTTTTCTTTCTCCCCATCCCATAATCTCTAATATAAAACTCAAGTGGTCAATCATGGTCATTTTGGTATCCTAAACACAAGGTTGCTGAACCTAAAAATCCTGCTTTCAGGCAGAAATAGATGGTAAGTAAGACTGGGAACTAGTGAGGTGAAGGAACATTGAGAAGTAAAAATTATCAGATAATGAAATATGTAGAAAAAGAATGATTCTCCAGCACTAAAAGTTCAACTAGAAAATTGTTTGATATATACACAAATACATAATTTGTGGAAATATTTTTTAAAATGTGAGGAATAAAAAAGTATAGGATTCATATAAGATTTTCTGATATATGTGATTTTCGATTATGACATCCGATAGGAATTCTACATGATGAAGGATGTAGATCAATCAGTCATAAAACCAAAATTTCACTACTGAAGCTTCAGAAATTAAATTTTTACCTTTCCAAACCAGCCATTTCCAATTTCTTGGATATAGTTTAGACTCTGGCGTGCAACTTGAGACTTCACTCCTTCTGCTACAGGGGAAAAAAAACAAACCACATCCCCCTTCATCATATTAAATTTTTTTTCAAGGTCACCAGAATTTAAGTAACAAAGTCATCAAGCATATAATAAAATTTTTTGTTGAACACAAATATCAATAAATATGAATGTTTCTATGTACAAAAATGAGAAAGAATACTGTACATGAATCTACTTATGTACAACTTATTTGTTTCACTTACTAGTTTTCAGCACATTAGTTCCACAAGCTGTCATGCTTATCTTTATTTCCCTCTAACCTTCCCTTTGTTCTCTTCTTTGAGCTTTAAAAATTACTTATTTATGCTTTTCTTTTTTTCTCCTCTGCATTATATTATATGTTAACTATCCCCTTTCTCCTTTATAATTTGAAATTAGAAAGAAATTTCAAAAACCCTCTTCAGTAACAAATTAGTAGACCAAAATGGATCAACATATTGGCCATGTCTAAAAATGAATATTTCATTTTGTATCTTTTTATTATTACCTCTCTGTCAAGAGACAGAAAGCATGCTTTGGAGTTTGTCCTTTGGAGCTGGGGTTAGTCACGACACTGACCAGAGTTTTAAGCATACATTCTATAACAAAAACTATGTATTGTTTTAAGTTTTTCCTAATGTGGCTGAGTATAAGCTTGCTAAAAGCAGGGGCTGTTTCCCTTTTGTCTTCACATCTTTAGTGCCTAGCAGTGTTTTACATTTATTAGATGATTAAGAAATATTTGCTGCATTTATTAAAATATAACAATTAGGTAAATGGGCAAATAACATTAGGATATTTCATTTTAAATATTAGAATTGCCAAACTTCCCAAATAAGTAATTTGAACTACTATAACCATGACACTATCAATTCAATCCTTAATCCTCTGCAATTTAGCTTCTGCCACCATAAACTACACTAAAACTATACACTAAAACTATATTCTTGAAGGTGACACTGTCATTTTTTATCTTTGTATCCCTAATACCAAGCTCGGGGTCTTAAATACCATAAGCCTCTCAAAAATGGGAAAGGTAAGTGTAGTTCTATGCAAAGAACATAAAATAAACACCCAGTAAATTAACATATCCCACAATTTCAAACCCTCCATTTAAACCTTAGGCATTTGTATTAGTATTGTTTTGGAACAGACCTTCCTGAGCCTTCACTCTTATGAGAATCTCCCATAGAGAAAACTCCCTCTACCAATAAAGATCTATATCTTTCAACTTGTATTCTTACTGACCAACCTAAAACACTCATAGGTCAAGTAATTTGCCTAGAGTCACAAAGCCAATGTGTATCAGAGGTGAGACTTGAACTCAGTTCACTATCTACTCACTATACCATGATGCGTCTCTTGAATTTTAATAGGAAAAAAATCTAACACCTAAAAGAGATTTACCAAACACAACAGTGTGCTAAATAGTTTTTGACGTATATTGAGAAAATGTTTACAGTAATACTTTGCTAAATATATATATATTTTTATATACAACTGTTTGAGTGCAGATTTGAACTCAGGTCCTCCTGACTCCAGGGCCCATGCTCTATCCACTGCGCCACCTAGTTAACACTAAATATAGATTTGATGTAGCTTTCCAATTCACGTATTGGCTCTTTTAACAGCAACTTAGTTTAATAACTGAGTTATACTAAATATTTCTGGCTCCATTAATGCAAAGGAATTTGTACATCAAAATGCCATTCATTATACATTTAATACAAATGCCTGGGGCACCGGAACACATTTGTGATAGTAAACTTACATAATCACAATAGATTTTTTTTTGTTTCTAACTATTTATTACATCAATTTACTGTAAAGGGATTACTGAAACCTAAGGAGTAGAAGGTACAATTAATGATATGCTCTTCTACCCATATAATCACTCAGTTCTTATAGCTAATTTATAACATGCAGTAAATCTGCAGGATTCAACCAAATAGATCCCCAAATGTTGACTGTGAGATGTCAATCTTACTAACAGATCTATTCACTTTCTACGGTGCACTGAAGGGCAATACCAATTCAAATTCAATGAACATTTATTAATTAATTACCTACTATACAAGGCACCATGGTAGGTGCTAAAGATACAAAGACCAAAACATAAAAAGAGCAAGAGAGTTTCTAACTTCCTGGTAGTAGAGGCAGAAATTAATGTGATAATAAGTTAAGTATAAGACCTTAATTACTTTTTAACTGTTATAAGTAAAAACAATGCTGGGATTTTCCAAGGCAAAAAGATATATATACATATTTTTAACACAGTAATAGACTATCTGATCTATGTGATTCTTGAAGAAAGGGATACAGAGAATCTTATTGAAGGGATGTGGTTTCTGGGCTGGCGATAGAAGGTGAAAGAAGGAAGAATTAATAAAGAGTTATGGGGACTTTTTAGTAAAATCTTAAGGATTTAAAAACTTAAGGAAAGAATGAAAGGATGCATTGATCCAGACAGAACAGAACCCAAGATAACAATGCACAACTCACCTGTAAGAATTTCAGTAAGGGGCTGAGTGCCTATAATTACAAGAAAGATTGATCAAACATTTTCTAGGGGTAGAACCTAGAATGTACAAATACTGGCTGCACTGACAGGTCAGAAGACCAGGAGAAGAGTTCTGACCTAAAACTAAAGGAGTACATCCAAAAAAGAAAAAAGGGATAACTTTTTAAAGACTAATGGGAAGTGGGCAGGTTAGGCCTGGGAGCCAGAAATAATGTGGGCTACTAAGATTTGGAGGGTGAGCACTAAACTCCTCCCAAAACTTTCCTTTACAGGAGTCTGGCATCTGAATTTTCTAGGTAACTCTCCACTTGCTTTCCATTAGCAGCTCTGCTTGGTTTTGACTCGACGAAACATTATATTATGCCCCTGCACCTAGTACCCTTGGTACCCACCCCCACTCCGACTTTTCAACTTCCTTTTGGGTGCTGTCATCCTCAAACAGACTGGAAGTTCCTTGAGGGTAGGGACTGTCTTTTTTTGTATTTGTATCCCCAGTGCTGACAGTACCTGGCATATATAGTAGGCATTTTATAAATGTTTACTAAATTGAATTTATTGAATTGAATAATGACTCAAAGTCTGGGGTTAGGTGATGGAATTGAGTTTATGAGCTAGGAAAGAAAATGTTTTATACTTTAATGTGTTTAAGTGGTTAATATGGAACTATATTTGTAATTTACTCTACTATCTATGTTTTTATATCACAATACAGCAAAGAGTAGTCATATACTTTAACTATCCATGCTAACAGAAAAAGAGGGGCCCAGGTGAGTCAGCCACATTCATTCTTTCATTCTTAGCTCTGCTCCTGACTTCTCAACTTCAAAACCATGCACCCACCAGATACCTCCATCCCCATACCCAATTTTTAGCTCCCTTTTGTGTGCTATCTTAGAATGTAAGCTTCTCAAGTGCAGGGGATGTTTTTGCCCCCCCCAGCCCCTTTTAAAATATCCCCAGCATTTAGCACACTGTCTGCCACATATAGGAGCTCAATAAGTGCTCATTTCCTTTTATGAACAGAACTCATATTCTCCTAAGAATAAAGTTCTCCCCTTTGATCTCTGAACAATGGCAGCACAAAAAATTAACTCATGGCAAAAAATAGTCTTTGGAAGGTAGAAAAGATAAAAAGAACAGAGATTATAAAATAAGTACCACCTCCAATTTTCATTGATTATTGGTACAGCTTCCAGCAATGATAGAAGTTTTCTTATTCTTTAGATTTCATTCAGAATAATGAGTGAATCTTGACACCAGGACAGCAATTAAATCAATAATATTACCTGAAGAAGGATGAAACTGGGATGGAACCGGTAAAGAAATATTTGGAACTGAAAGTGTAAAAACTTCTGCAGGAGATTGAACAGAGGGTGTATCTTCTGCTGGTGGTGTAAAATCTATTTCATCATCAAAATTATCTTCAAACTCCTAAAAAAAAGTTGGGGTAGAAGAGAATAAACATATCAATTATGCTGATTTATTAATAAGAAATGTTTTGACTATTCACAGCTAAAAAATGGACAGAAAGGTAGTATGGCAAAGTAACAGAGAGGTCCCACCTTGGAGGTCAAAAGAAGTCCTGGCTCTGTTAGCTGTGTGACCAAGAGCAAGTCACTTTTCCTTTTATTACATAAGACAACTCTAAAAGAGTGAGATATAAAGGAGTTGCTAAATTGTTCTAGTGGAGAGAATTAGCATCCTGGGAGTTCCTTGAACTAATGGATTCGTTTAAGAAAAAAAAGAAAACACATGACTAAATTACACTGTCAGAAAATTATAAATTCTATTATCACTTGGATTGCAGAAGACTCAGAGAACTTCTGATTTCTCTTGCTACTGTGAGGTTCTATGAAGCAATGCCAACCAAACAAACAGAAGACTATGCCTGGTCACTGAAAGGTCCCTCAGTTAATCTGCCAGAAGCAGGACTTGAATACAGATCTTCTTAACTTAAAGGACTCTTTTACCCCCATAACCACTATAGCATACTGCCTTCATGCATACAAAAAGATTACATCTAAAAGTTACTTAGATTTCCAAAATATTTATGACTTTAAAAATACATCATTCCATTCATTTATATGACGCTAACCATAAAATGAGAAATTATTTTCAATGAACATTTTCACAGATCCCAATAAAGCAAGTCAAATCAGGTTCCTCATATTTTAATTATTTTAATTTTCTCTCCATTTCCAATTGTTGATTTTTATAAAAATAAATATAAAAGATATTTTGAAAAGTAGCTTCTATAGAAAAAGAAATAAATTAGTTATAAAATCTTTGATCTCTAGAATTATGTCAAGACTTGAACCACAATGACTAGTGTAAAATGATTCTGTATAATTTGAATTTAATTATAACTGTCAAAAGCTGGAATTATCTGAAGATAGCACCTTTGAAATTCAGGAAACAACAAAGAAGGATGTGAAGTGATTGAGAGAACAATTAATATCTATACACAAAAATTATTCTCAAAATTTGTGAAGAAAAACATTCAACCAAATTCCTTTTATGAGATATAGACAGTTCAAATATCTAAACTGGGGGGGTGCATAACATTATGTACCATATTATTAATAAATACTAATTCAAATTTTTAAAATAAAATCTTGGTCAAAAAAATCATAATAAATTATTTTTAAAATCATTCAATATGATCAAGTTGAATTCATACCAGGGATACAAGGGTGGTTCAATGTAAGACCAAGAGTTAACATACCAAACCACATCACTAGATGGCAAAAAGGCCTTTGACAACACTCATTTTTGTTAAAAATCCTACAAAGCATAGACACAGAAGGACATACATTTTAACAGAATAAAGTGTATCTATCTAAAATCAAAAGCTAAAATTATGTGCAATGTGAGAAAACCAGAAGTTTCCCCAGTACATGACTTTCCCCTTTCCCCACTGTTACCTGACACATCTCTAGAAAAGGTAGCAATGGCAATAAGACAAGAGGAAGAACTTACAGGCATAAAGACAGGTAAAATGGAGATGAAATTATGTTTATCTACCGATAGTATGATGATTTATTTACACAATCTTAGGGGAATCAGGAAAGAAACTGAGACAACAGCTTTGTTAAAGTAGTAGTTTATATAATAAACCCACAAGAATCAACAGAACTTCTACACAGCAACAACAAAATCCAGAAAACAATAACAGAATGGGAAGTTTCATGCAAAATAACCACAAAATGCATAAGCTATAAGGGAGTCAATCTATCAAAGCACATTCAATGCACCTATACAGTTACAATTACAAAATGCTCTTTACAGAAATAAACCATTTAAAAGGATGGTCTATGTCCATGGGTGGGTCATGCCAATATAATGAAAATAGCAATATTACTGAAATTAACTTACAGATTCAGTGCTATACCAAGCTTCCCATAGGATAACTTTACAGAGCTAGATATAATAACAACAATCAGTGGAACAACGAAAGATCAAGATTATCAAGGGAAACAATGAAAAAAATTAGGAATGAAAAAGGAATACTCAAAACTATATTATGAAGTAGCCATCATCAGCACTATTTAGTATTAGTTTTAAAATAGCAAAGAAAATAAATGAACAGACTAGACAAAGAAGAATCAGAAACAACTAAACCCAATAATGCAGTGTCTGATAAACCCAGACAAATAAGAACTCAAAGGAAATCTGGCAAGTGATCTAGATCAATGTTATATACTATACAATACACAAACTCAAAATGGGTAGACGACCTAAATTATTAAAGATCTAACCATGAAAAAATAAAAAAAACAGATGAGAACCAGTCAGGTACCTTTCACAGCTAAGGCTAGGAAGTGAATTCTTAATAAACAAGCAACAGAGAAAGTTATAAAAGGTAAAAAGGATAACACTGATTACACGGAATTTAAAACTTTTTGAATGAACAAAATAAATGCAACGAGAATAAGAATGGAAGTAATCAACTAAGAAAAAAAAATCTTTGTGTGGATTATTTCTGATAAGAGCCTAATCCACAAGATATAAAGACAACTAAAAGAAATTCATAAGACCAAAAGCCATTCCCATCAGAAGAAAAGGATATGAAGAGTTCTCAAAAGAAGAATTGTAAACTATTAACAACTTTATAAAAACACTACATATTGCAAATAATAAGAGAAATGAAAATCAAAACTCTGAGGTATCACTTCACACTCAGAAAACTGTCAAAGATAAACAGAAAACAAGAACAGTCATTGTAGGAGGTGTTGTAGAAAGATGGGCATATTAATGTATTATTGGTAGAGTTGTGAATTGATTTAACCATTCTAGAAAACAATTTTGAATTATCCAAAGAAAGAGGTAAATGACACAAAGTCTTTATATACACAAAAATATTTATAATGGAATCTTTTGCATTCTAGCAAAGAACTGAAAACAAAATGGCTAAACAAGACTTGGCATATGAAAGTAATAGAATATTACTACAGTAGAAGATAGGATGAATAAAGATAAGTATGAAATAAAATGATGCAAAGTACAGTAAATAGAACTAGGAATAAAACATACATAAGACAACAGTATAAATGGAAAAAACAACAACAAAACAGTTGAAAATATTTTGAAATTATAATGGCCAAGTCTGGCCCTAAAGAAGAGATGTCGTCAGAATTTTCTGGTATGTTGTTGAGTTTTACTGAATTGTTTTCCCCCCTTTTTTTCCTTCTTGCTTATGGGAGACAGCTCTCTGGGATCAGAAGGTGAGTAGAACACACTGTAAAATGTAGGTTACATAAAAGCATGATAGTAATAAAATTTTCCATATGGACACATTTTTCTCTCAGCGAATAGATTCCTAGAGCTATAACCCTAGGTAGCCTGGTCACTAAATTAACAAAAAATGATTTTAGCGTGATGATACCAATATCTGACTCATTTGAACAAATAAAATCTTTAAAAGACAAATAAAATTATCACTGTTGATGATTATTTCCCCATTTATTATGACTTTTATTCCACTAGCATTTCTGAGTCTCTTTCCCAGCAGGAACACTAAAGCTTCCTCTCGTAACAACAAAAAGAGGTTACCAAAACAAATTGGCAAAATGATGACATTGTAACAGCATGTACAACACTTCACTGTCCAGGTAGTCACCCCACCTCTGCGCTCCCAGAAGGGAAGCATGTTTGGTATGATTCTTTTCCTACAGCCTTGCTCTCCCCCTTCTTTGTATGGATTGAATCCCAGTGATAAACAGAGAGTTGGTAATTTTCTTGTGCTACTAGATTGGAGCAAAGTAGCACCTGACAGAGAAGTTCATATAAATTAGAAACATCCATTCAATACACACAGATGGTTTTGATTACAAGACTGCTTTTATACATCAAAGCCAAGAAAATACTGGCTTACAAAGATTTTACAGTATCCAAACCAGTGGTCCTTAGTCCTTTGGTGGCAATACTAATATATGGTTAGCTATTATTATTGCTAATATATGGATATTAGCCACAAGTAACACTGAATTAAGGGAAGTTTTCCACATCATAAATAAACATAGAATAACCAATAAAATCCAGGGAATGACCATTGAAAATATTTCCTTTTTTAAAAGCAAAATTTTATAGCTAAGGTTCCCAACCAATCTCTACCTTTTTGGGCCTGAATTTCCTCATCTGTAAAATTAACTGTTTGGATTACATGATTTTTAATGACCGTATGAGTTACCATGAGATCTCAAAGCTTAAGGCAATCGCTACTACTATTCCATTCTCAGTAGTATTCCTCTCCAATGATATTTAGATATTTTCCTGGAAATGCCTAGCCTTAGGGAGATCAAGACTTCTGGAAATCATTTGAAGTTAGACATCGAAGTTATCTAGCCCAACCTGTAGCTGAAGGATGAAATGTCCTCTAAAAATATCCCCAAATGGTCATCTAGTTTGAAATGAAAAACAGCTCAACTTCAGAAAAAGTTTGCAGACATCTGTTCCATAGCAATCTTAACAAAATAACACAAATTTACTAGTCAAAAAAGTCTTATGGGCTTTTTTCTTTTGTTTTAAAAAGAATAGGTCCTCCCCCTACAAGAAATGAATTAATGAACATGGTTTCCTACTTGCATGGCAAAAATTTAGATTCACTGTAGTAAATACTGTCAAAGATGCTACACATATTTAATGCCATTATACCTGAATCATTTCCAGAACAACCATTTCAAATTTTTTTTTAATGCTCACCTTAAAGTCTATTTCTCGATCTTTACAGCAGGATACACAGTTCACAATCAGCACTACCAATGTCAGTAAACTGCATACAGATAGAACCACAAAAAGTAAGGACACTTCTGCAGCAGCTGGTTCCCCTAAAAAGAAAGAGGCAAGTACTCTTAAAAACAAACGCATTCAAAATTCAATTTTAATCACTGAATCAATATACATGTTCCCCACCCCCAGGCATAAACTAGATCAAATATTAAATAAATGCTATTTAAATGCTTAGAATGAAGCTTTGGCCAACTTAAGAGTTTCATTTACACCTGTCTTTGAGCAATGAATGAGTTATCTGAATGATGATTTGTCAAGTCTGATTGAACATTTTTGGGGTTGGGGTATACTGGTAGATACTATTTTCTCTAAATAAAGAATTTTTCCTTATTAGTTTAATACCATTCACTAACAGTGTAGCTAATATATCTATGGTGAAATCATAGTAGATTAAAAAAAACTGGACTGTGATGAGGCAAATTTTGTTGTAAATGTAGTTCATTCAAGAAAGACCAGAGTATGTCTACAACAAATAAAAAGCACTAAATTCCCCATCAATAATAACACCATGAACTTGGGTAAATCATACCTCCCTCTAGGTCTGTTTTCTCTGTAAAATGAATGGATTCTATATGTAAAAATATTTATAGCAGGAAAGTGGGTATCCTTCAACTAAAGAATAGCTGAACAAATTGTGCTGTCTGATATATGGAATATCAATGCACCATAAGAAATGACAAGAAGAAATCCAGAGAAACTTGGGAAAACATGAACTAAAACACAGTGTAAGTGGAACCAGAACAATTTGCATGATAACCACAATAATGTAAAAGAAAACAACATTAAAAGACTTCAGTTTTCCTTAGTCTAGTGACCAACTGTGAATTCAGAGGGTAGAGAGCATGTCTCTTGACTCTCGGCAAAGGTGTGATGACAAACAACAGGAAGATGAATGAGGCATTCATTTTAAAATATGCTCAATGTGTTATTTTGCTTAACTATATTTCTCTAGTAGAAAGAGTTCATTGGGGGAGGAGTGACAGAAAAGTTTAAAAAAGTGTGAATGAATTCAAAATAATGTAAAATAAAGAGGTTGGTCTAGATGATCTCTATAGTGCTTCTATAGCGCTATACAATTCTCGTATGAATAAAACCTATCTGTGGGTAACAGTGCAGTAACAAGCATTCAAGTGAAAGAATTCTCACAAAACTATTTTGGCTAATAGTAGAACTTAAATCTGTGCTATAAAATATGTATTACAAAAATTTATGTTAATTTGGCAGCTAGGTGGTACAGTGGATAGAGCACTGGCCCTGAATTCAAATCTAGCCTCAGACCAAACACCTGACACTAGCTGTGTGACCCTGGGCAAGTCACTTAACCTCAAGCCTTGCCAAAAAAAAAAAATCTATGTTAAACTGATGAACGTCAAAGGATATCAGAGTACATTCTTGGCAGTTCTGTTCAGTACTTAGCCATGTAAGACAAATGAAAAATCAATATATTTAAGAACTAACTAAGAAGGAGATTCCAGAGTTACTCTCAATAATTCACTGTATTACATTGATTTTAAACCTAAGAAACGACTTTCCATATCTGATTTAGGTTAATGCTATCTTTCAAAGTTTTCTTTTCCTAATTCATTCTCTGCATATCTGTCAAACTGATGTTCCTAAAATACAGATCTGACAATGGGGTGACATTCTACCCCAACCTTGATTAACTCAAAAATCTGCACGGCTCTCTACTGTCTTCAGGATAAAATTCAACATCCTCAGTCTGGAACTTAAAGTCTACCACATCCTGACTCCAGACTACCTTGCCAATTTTATTTCATATTACTCCTCTTCATGTATTCTCTACTCTAGGCAGACTAGTCTACTGTTCCCCATACACCACATTCCATCTCCCATCTCTTTGCCTTTGCACAAGGAGGTCCCAAGGCTGGAATGTACTCTCTTCCTCGTCTCTCAATCACAGAATCCCTAGCTTCCTTCAAAGCATATCAGGAGCCATCTCCTACACAAGACCTTCTCTAATCCCCCTCAATTACTGAAACACATATTATATTGATCTGAATCTGTAAGGTTTTGTACATAGCTTGCATTTACTACTTGAGTATTTCTGGAATGTAAGCTCCTTGAGAAAAGGGATTGTTTTCTTTTTCTCTTTGTAGCTCCAGCACCTACTATAGTGCCTTGAAGATCCTCAACACTTAAATGGTTTTAAAATGTCATCAACTAGGAAGTTCCCCCTAAAGACCACAACCTATTCATATCTGACTGTCCTATATGACTTGTCCATGTCTTCCTGTAAATTCACCGAAAGGATCCATCCAACATGATGGGGGCCTTCCTGTTTTCTCTCAATATCAGGAGGTGTTGGTACACTCTGGTAACACAGTTGTCTTCCTGCACCCCTGCAACATGACCACCAGCACCTCTCTTCTAACCACATATTTTCTTGAAGACATCTTTTACTCTGGTTCTTCTGTGATGCTTCTTACTAACATGTAAAGCAAGCTCACAAACATTATGTGACTGTCCATTGCCTTTTGCATGGTGTTCATTTTTAATTCATCAGAAACCATTATATTCTATGTTTCATTGCCATGTAGCAAGACTGGCAGAATGATGCTATTTAAAAGATGGCCCGGGATTCTATGGGAAGCTTGGAGTCATTAACAGAATTATCCCAGGTGATCCTTTAGAATCAGGAAGACCTGTATTCAAAACCTGCCTTATTACTAGCTGTGTGACCTGGGTCCAGTCACTTAAACTCTATAAACTCTGTCTTCTCACATCTGTAAAATAAGAATATCTAGCTCACACATGAGGTAATGTGAAGGTCAAATGAAATAATATATGTGAAGTGCTTTGGAAACCTGAAAATGTTACATAAATTCTAACTATTATCTACAGTTTCTCAAAAGCAATTCAGCCTATTCTCTTTCCATTCAACTTTAGACTCATCTCATCCATTTGTGCTATATATTTCCAATAGATGCCACTGGATTAGATCTGTAAGCTGTCCATGCACATGGATGTTGTAACCTAGGCAGTAGACCCTTTTCATTCATTTGGTCTTTCCTGATGGATGGTCAGATCAAACTTCTGAGATTTCTTCCAAGAAGCATTCTGAATACTGATACTATTCAAAGAACAATGTCATACACAAATGGGAATTTACAGAGAATCCTTCTTCAACTTGGACTGGATTTCCCCCATCTGAAACATTTTTGGTGAGTACACATCTCCTTGTTTTATGCATCAACTGAACAGAGTTCGGTTTCAGTTCATTTCTGTTGTCCTCTCTTTCAAGTAATCTTAAGTGATTTGATGTATGGATGGGAGACAATTGTTGGAAGAGAGCCTGTAAAGCATAGTTTTGCTATAATGAATCAAATACTTTTTCCATAATCAACAATAAGTACAATGGGATCTTATATTCCCTACATCTTTCAGTCAATTGCAAAATGACAAACACACGGTCCATTGTTTAATATTGCTTGTGAAAGCCTAATATTACATGCTAATATACTCTTTGAAGATGCCCCTAATTCATGTACAGGTAACTCTCAGAAAGCTTTTGCACAGAACGGAAAACGGGTGTATAGGTTGATAGTTACTGATGGCATTTTCTCAGTTGCCTTTGCAGGGGGATGATGGTGGACAATAAGGCCCAAGATTCTGTCTATGTCTTTATTATCTACCTCACTTTCAAATACCTTGCCTATTTTTTTTTTAGGCAATTGGAGTTAAGTGACTTGCTTAGGGTCACACAGCTAGTAAGTGTCAAGTGTTTGGTCTGAGGCCGGATTTGAACTCCTCCTGACTTCAGGGCCGGCACTCTATCCACTGTGCCACGTAACTGCCCATTGCCTATTAATTCTTCGATGCTCAAACAGTTGTGGTGCTTCTGGCATGCCTCCCTTTCCTCTATATAGATCTAAGCCAGATCCTTTCCTGTCTGTGTTCTATTTAGTGCTATCTGTACCTGCCCTAAAAGCACATCTGGAACTGTGATTCACAGATCTTCATTCCACTGTTCTTGATAGTAAAATGTTAACAATTTTGTAACTGTCATCTTTGCAGATTTTTCCATTTTCCTTTTCTTTATCATTTTCCCATTTTCATCTCTGAATTACCCTTAAGACAACTTTTGCTTAGTTGGAATTAGTTTTACTGCTTCTGCTTTATGAGGTGATACTGCTTATAATCTGCTATATTCTCTCTCTTTGTAACACTTTACAAACAAGTTTACATTTCAAACTAGTGCTGCCTTTGAATGTCCTATGTCTCTGATTGGTGATATGCAAAATGTTTGCTAAGGCACTTTCTGGTTTCTTTCAGCTTTCTTATTGTGGCAACAGGTTTATGTTAATTTTTTTCCTGCTTTTTTTTTTTAACCAATTCTGATCACTGTTTTAGCAAGTTGGTGATCTGATGGTACACAAGTAATTGATTCAGGTTTGACTCCCACATCAATAATAAATCTTTTCTTATCTGTTTTAAAATATAATCAATTTTGCAATTGTAGTCGACAAGTCTTTTCCCTGAGCCATGTTTTCTAAAATACTTCTCAGAATCCTAACCCTTTTCTTCACCTTTGCAAAGAAGTCCTTAGGCATCAGAGATATAATATAGAAAATATTGCTGAGTTCTTAGTAGAACTTTCTTATTCTTCATCCTCAGCAATATTTTGGTGCATAAACTGCAATTATTTACATGTTACAGTTCTTTTTGCAAATATAAACTAATGCTACCAACTCCTTTCTGTTTCTCTATGAATACATATGCCACATTTTCAATTAGCTACAACTTTCTTTTATTCTTTTTTATACCAAGAATGTCAAGATTGATATGATTCAGCAGTATGTCCACATCTTGATCACTGAACAAGAATCTCACTTTTAGTCAAATTAAATTCTACAAATGGTCTGAAAACTGGGTAAATTTTTAGCACATTTATACATACAAATATATGTGTATATTTACTTTTGGCTAATGATTTTTAAAAGTTGCACTAACATTGTCTTTGTCACAAGGAAGGAATATGTGAATGGTAAGATGTATATGAGAATGACCATGGTAAAGA